CGTGAAATAGTGTTTCCTGATATCCTACCTAGACCTTCCCCCACTGCAACTTGAGACCATTGCTCCTTGTTCTATCATCTGCCACCACTGAGGACAGCTGAGCTCCATCCTCTTTGGAACCCCCTTCATGTAGTTGAAGGCGGCTATCAAATCTCTCCCCACCCCCCTTCTCTTCTGTCGACGAAATAAGCCCAGTTCCCTCAGCCTTTTCTCGTAAGTCATGTGCCCCAGCCCCCTGATCATTTTCGCTGCCCTCCGCTGTAGTGAGGGTCCCAAAACTGGACGCAATACTCCAGATGTGGCCTCACCAGTGCCGAATAGAGGGGAATAATCACTGCCCTCGATCTGCTGGCAATGCTCCTACTAATGCAGCCCAATACGCCGTTAGCCTTCTTGGCAACAAGGATACACTGTTGACTCATATCCAGCTTCTCGTCCACTGTATTTCCCAGCTCCTTTTCTGCAGAACTGCTGCTTAACCAGTCGGTCCCCAGTCTGTAGCGGTACATGGGATTCTTCCGTCCTAAGTGCAGGACTCTGCACTTGTCCTTGTTAAACTTCATCAGATTTCTTTTGGCCCAATCCTCCAATTTATCTAGGTCACTCTGGACCCTATCCCTACCCTCCATAGTATCTACCTCTGCCTCCAGCTTAGTGTCATCCACGAATTTGCTGAAGGTGCAATCCATCCCATCCTCTAGATCATTAATGAAGATGTTGAACAAAACCGGCCCTAGGAACAACTTCTGGGGCACTCTGCTTGATACTGGCTGCCAACTAGAAATGAAGCCATTGATCACTACCCTTTGAGCCTGACAATCTAGCCAGCTTTCTATCCACCTTATAGTCCATTCATCCAGCCCATACTTCTTTAACTTGCTGGCAAGAATATTGTGGAAGAGTGTATCAAAAGCTTTGCTAAAGTCAAGGTATATCGGGTCCACCGCTTTCCCCATATCCACAGAGCCAGTTATCTCCTCACAGAAGACAATCAGGTTGGTCAGGCACGACTTGCCCTTGGTGAATCCATGTTGACTGTTCCCAATCACCTTCGTCTCCTCCAAGTGCTTCACAGTGGATTCCTTGGGGACCTGCTCCATGGTTTTCCAGGGACTGAGGTGAGGCTGATGGGTCTGTAGTTCCCCGGATTCTCCTTCTTCCCATTTTTAAAGATGAGCATGATATTTGCCTCGTTCCAGTCGTCCGGGACCTCCCCCCATCGCCACGAGTTTTCAAAGATAACGGCCAATGGCTCTGCAATCACATCCGCCAACTCCCTCAGCACCCTCGGCTGCATTAGATCCGGCCCCATGGACTTGTGCATGTCCAGCTTTTCTAAATAGTCCTGAACCTGTTATTTCACCACTGAGGGCTGCTCGTCTCCTCCCCATGTTGTGCTGCCCAGTGCAGCAGTCCGGGAGCTGACCTCTGTGAAGACAGAGGCAAAAAAAGCGTTGAGTACTCCAGCTTTTTCCACATCCTCTGTCCCTAGGTTGCCTCCCTCATTCAGCAAGGGGCCCACACTTTCCCTGACCTCCTTGTCGCCAACATACCTGTAGAAGCCCTACTTGTTCCCCTTCACATTTCTTGCTAGCTGCAACTCCAATTGTGGTTTGGCCTTCCTGATGACTCTGCCCCTGCAGGCTCGAGCAATATCTTTATACTCCTCCCTAGTCATCTGTCCAAGTTTCCAATTCTTGTAAGCTTCCTTTTTGTGTTTAAGCTCACACGGCTGGAGCCATTGCTCACTGATGTGCATGGCTGTGGACAATTCCCACAGACTAGTCACCCCGCATCAGACCTGGGGGCAGGGCTATAAGACAGAAGGGAATTTGCAGCTTGAATTGTGCTCACCTAAGACTCTGTCTACACCGGAGTCAGGGGTGTGACCGTAGACGTACCCCAATTAGCTCCGGTGCCAATAGCAGGGAAGCCGTGATAGCAGAGACAACAGCAGGGCTGCACACACTGGCCTTGGGGGTGTACTTGAGGGCTGGCTTCCCTGCTGCTGTTCCTGGAGATGGTGAGATCAAAGCCAGGCTAGGGGTGTGTACACATGCCACAGTCGCACCTCAGATTGTCATGTAGACAGGATTCCTGTGGCCCAGTGGCTGCATAGGAGCTGCCCGGAGCAGAGGGCAGTGTAAAAGCACAAAAGCCTCTTCCTCGGCCTCTGGCAATGGCTCACCACAGACCCAGCGCAGCTGGTCGGTCCCGGGCTTGTTGCTGGGGGGGGGGAAGGGAGTCCAGTCCCTGTTTGCAAGGTAAAAGATGGCCTGTTTGTAAATCACAAGCATGTGTCCACACAAACACCTCCGCTGACCCCACGCTGGCTACCATATGGCAGGCACAAGCCATGTGATGGCAGCAGCCAGAGCCAGGGAAGGCTCCGTCATCAAAACCCTGTGAGTTTCCTGCATACAGCTCCCGAGGTCTCAGTCAGAGCAGCTGTTCCCTTTATCCTGTCTGATCAGCACGGCAGGGGAAGAGGGGCAGGCCTCAGTCGGGTTAGGGAAAAAATAGATATCCACTTCCGAAAGCCAAGGTGCCACGTTCTCCCTCTGAGATCAGTGCTGCCAAACTGCACCCCCCCAGGTCAGTGTGCAACCCAGCGAGATAGACCAGGGATCTCACGCTGGAGGGGAGAGTGGGTGTGATCCCAGTGAAATAGACCAGAACTCCGCGTTCACAAGGCGAAAGGTATCGTGATATCCCGGGGAAAGATACTGGGACTCAGTATACAAAGAGGCCAGACTCTGTGGCATGAGCAACTGTGGGGATGTGCAGCCTAGCCAGACTCTGTACCCACTGATGCCCTGCATATCCTGTGAGGGGATCCCCTTCAAGGGCATCTGGGTATGCCCAGTTCCTGTCCCGGCCCGAGCCCAGCATGCCCAGTCTCTCCTGGATCCCTGTGAGGTTGGGTTTGGGTTACTCTCTTGCTGATTGGCAGTCAGGCTGACCAGTCCTCTACCTCTCCCACATTCCCCCCAGCCACAAAAGCCTCCTGTACAAGGCTGCAGGGCATCTGCACAGGGCTCTGTTTCATGGCACACAACACGGGATCCCTGCATGGAACCCGGCATCCTCCTACCCCACCAGGCACCAATCTGGCTGCCTTTGGGGCCCTCTGCACCCAGGAGGAAGAGCTCAGCACTTGTCCCATGGCCAGTAACAGCTATTAACATGCAGAGCCAGAGGGGAAAATGTTATACTTATAAGAAGTACACGGGATCTTTATAGGGGAGAAGGCAGCACGCCGCATTTATTGAGAATACAACAGTTAGCGTGTGCTTTTCAATCACACACCCCATGCACACAGTCCTGCCAGTCGATGTTTATAGTTACCAGTCCAGAGTCTGGATCAATCTAGTGGCCAGCCAGACTGGTCGCAAAGGGGAGCAGGGCTCTGTTGGTTGTGATCCGATGCTCCCGGAGCGTGGCAAGATGAACCCAAAGTCCCATGGCCAAGCACCCTGTTCTTATAGTCTTTTTTCCCTGTTGAAGTCTATGGATTTTGCTGTGTCATTTTGTGACCGGTTACTTCTTAATTCATGTATCTTTTGATGTAAACATTCCAATACACCTCCGAGAGGGTCATCCTGTCCTGGTTCCAATTTAATCAATTGTCCTGTCTTTAGGGGTGTCAGCCTTCACCTCAGGGTCGTCAATCTGCCCTTGCTTCATTATGGATGCACGTTGACGGTTCTCTGGTGTCCTTAAATCTCTTCACTCCTTCTTCCTTGACCATCTGGCTATAACAACGGCCTTCACACCTTATCTTTTCCTGATGCAAACACTCCTCATTCACACAAACTGTCTTTTTATAGAGACCTTTGAGAATACAAACAGTGTCAGTTTATTTTGAGCGAAAGACATTGTAAATTAAGCCTTCCTCTAATCTCCTTAACATAGACACAATACAAGATCCTGTCTCTTACTTACTAAACCTTAAAACAAAGAAATGTATATTTAACTAGAGTGCCTAATTTGTAATACATATAGGAAATCATAGTAGACATTATAACTTATCCTAAAACAAAAGGGTGACCATAATCAGGCATAAGGATTGTGCTGGTCTGTCTCTGCCTTAACATCAGTACAGACACTGGTAGTCTGTCAGAGGGTCGTTCCTTTCTGCTATTCAAAAAGGGTGGCTGGCAGGATGAAATCAAATCATACATTAATTCTCATAGTACAGTTATAAAATCCTGCTCCTACAGAGACTTCAAGCAGGAGGAGCACAGGAAAGCATCTGCTAGTGGACTCACTTGTCCTGTCACGCGTCTCCTTGCCCAGCGAAGGTGTTGGCAGAACAGGGGTCAGCCTCAGGGGGGAGCATGGGACATTAGACCTGAGTGGGAGTTTTACCGAGTTCCTTTGGCACCCCAGGGATCTCAAAGGGCGTCACAAAGCAGTGAGTTAAACACTCAGGGCAGGCAAGAGCTCAAGGAGGAAGATCCTGAGCCCCATGCATTAGCAGCTGCTTCACTGAGAGGGGGCGCTGGCCTGGACGCGGCTGTTCTCCCCTGCCGCCGGGATACCTCGTTAGGAGAGCGAGAAAGGACCTCGCTTCAATGTCTCTTCCCAAAGGCGGGGTATCCAACCGAGCAGCCCCCTGCCCCTCTGCTCCACTGCAGGGCCAGAGGGGAGCGCGATGTCAGCTGGCCTATTCGCTGCGAGGGGAAGGAGGATACTCATCTCCCGCATCCCGAGTTTCTGTGGCCAGCTATGAACGTGCTCGGGATGAATCTGAACATACTTGGAAGGATCCTCGAGTCTCCCAAACTTCGGTGCCTTACCCTGGCCCCACAATGCAGGATTCTGTGGCCTTGCTCTTATCCCCCGGACCAGCCGCTGCCTGCCTACCCCAAGCCTAGACTGCTTGGCTGGGTCGGGCAGCAGGGCCGCGTGCCAGTCTCTGACATTCAGGGGTCGAGCGAGTGGGAAGCACGGGCTCGCTCCGGTCTCACCCGCTGTCTTCCCTGCCTCCTGCACAGGTACCTCCGGACCCTGTACCTCGGCCTCCAGAGCCGCTGGCAGTCAGAGCACAGACAGCGCCACTTCTACTGGAGGATGATGTTCGAGAGCGCGGACATCAGCATGCTGCGGCTGCTGGAGACCTTCCTGAAGAGCGCCCCCCAGCTGGTGCTGCAGCTGAGCATCATGGTGCAACAGAACAACATTGAGCCCCTGCAGGGTAAGGGATGACCCCCGCCGACCCAGCCCCCATCCCAGCCTTCCTGCCCCCTCTCATCACCTGTCACTGCCGGGGACGTGCCACGAAATTAAAAGGTGGCAAATTCAAAACTGAGAGACAGAAAGGGTTTCTCACACAATGGGGGAGGAGACTGTGGAACTCTCTGCCACTGGGAGTTGCTGAGGCCAAGAATTTAGCAAGAGTCGAAAAGGGATTGAACACTTGTATGGATAACGAAAACAACCAGAGCTGTCAATAGTTAATGGTCAAATTCTGGAAGGGACATAAAACCTCCTGCTTTGGAGCTGAAGCCAGAGTCTCTAACTGAGGGACCGGGAGGAGACCTAATGTGGTGGCAGATTATCGCATATCTGCTCCTGCGGATTCTTACCCCTTCCCCTGCAGGATCTGATGTTGGGCTCTGGCACAGACAGGACACTGAGCTAGAGGGAGCTGGGATCTGATCCAGCCTGGCCACACCCATGTTCCATCTTCTGTCTTCCCTTCTTCTTCCTCCCATCTCATACCATCCCCTCCTCCTGTTCCTCTCCTTCCTCTCCCCTCCAACTCCCTGACTCATTCTGTGTCTCCGCAGGTCTCTCGGCCTCGGCCTCCCTGGTGTCCCTGGCGTGGATGATCGCCTCCTACCAAAAGGTGCTGCGGGACTCGCGTGAGGACAAGATGCCCATGTCCTACAAGGGGGCAGTGGTGCAGATCCTCTGGCACCTGTTCACCATCGCTGCCCGCGCCATTGCCTTCGCCCTCTTTGCCTCCGTGTTCCAGCTCTACTTTGGCATCTTCATCGTCACGCATTGGTGCATCATGACCTTCTGGATCATCCAGGGGGAGACGGACTTCTGCATGTCCAAATGGGAGGAGATCATCTACAACATGGTGGTGGGCATCATCTACATCTTCTGCTGGTTCAACGTGAAGGAGGGCCGGAGCCGCTGCCGCATGGCCATCTACTACACCATTACGCTGGCGGAGAACGCGGCCCTCACCGGGCTCTGGTACATGTACTATGACCGCCAGGCCACCGCTGACTTCGACGCCTTAATCATCGTCTGCGTGGTCTCCTCCAGCTTCGCCCTGGGCATCTTCTTCATGTTCATCTACTACTGCCTCTTGCACCCCAACGGGCCAGTGTTCGGCCCCCAGACCAGCGGCTGCATTTTCAAAAAGGCGCCGGCCGCCTGCGTGGGACCCCCGGAGGACGTAATCACCAGCCCCCCACGCTCCTTGCCACGGACTACAGGGGGGGAGAGGGAAGGGGTGCCAGGGGACAGGGACAGCTGCGTGCCTGTTTTTCAGGTCAGGCCAAGCGTCCCCCCAACCCCTGTTGCCCGCGCCCCCCGGACAGAAGGGCCCGTCATCCGAATAGATCTGCCCAGGAAGAAGTACCCTGCCTGGGACGCCCATTTCATTGACAGGCGGCTCCGTAAGACGATCCTAGCGCTGGAGTATTCTTCTCCGGCTACCCCGCGCCTGCAGTACCGCAGCATGGGGGCCTCGCAGGAGGTGCTGGAGTATGAGACCACGGTGTAGGCCACCGCGGGAGCCATGTAACTGCCTAGCATGCCCCCCCACCCCCACCGTGGGGCTGACACAATGGTGCATTTCCAGAACCCAAGGGGGTCGCTGGTCAGAGCCCACTGGCCGCCAGCCAAGCCCGGCCTTCCGCTGCCCTGGAGAGTGGCTGTCCAGTATCTTCTTAGCATTTTGCCTTTGTGTTCATTCGCACTGATGGCCCCGCACCTCCCCGCTCTACCCCCCATCCCAGAGGGGTTGGCGAGGTCAGCTGGTGCTACCTGCCCCGCTCTGCCTTGACAAGCTCCCCCTCTAGGCAATGCCATGGCAAAGTTTTCCTCCCTGTGCCCCAGTTGCGTCCAGGCTGCCTCCCTGGCACCCCCACAGATGGGCCCAGAGGAGTCCATCCTCCCCTCCAGGCGGGAGTCTTTGTTGGTGCTGAAATACCTCACCTGTACCTGAGCTCAAACAGCCTGGAGCCGCCCCATGGTGTGGCCTCTAGCCACCGGCAAAGGGGCAGGGCACCTGGTGCAGGAGGGGTTGCACAGAGCCCGGCTGGAGAGGGTGGGGAGCAGCTTCCTTGTGGGTGTGAGGACTGGCCGGAGCTGGGGAGCAGGGTGTGTGAGGGGCCACGGAATGGGGGGTGGGGGAATCAGGGCAGGCTGAGCGCCCTGGGTACAGAAGTGCACCACAACCCCCAGTTACTCTGGGCACAGGGGGGCCCTGGGAAGTGGGGCTGAAGCATGCGGAGCTCTGGGGGAAAGGTGGGGCCCTGGTTGCTGGAACACACACTGGTTTCTGGGGCGTGCCGGGGGTGCTGGGGTAAGGTGGAGCATGGCAAGATCACAGGCGCAATCCTTCATCATTCCTGTGTGAAGTCTGTTCCCGCCATTCCCTGGGCCTTGGAATTAAGGGAATGACCTTGGGCCCCCTCCCTGTTGTTCCCCCCCACCACACACACACACCCTGAAATGCCTGCCACAGCTGTGCCAGTCCATGGGGCAGATGCACTTCTGCCTCTGAGTAAAGGGGACATAGGAAGGTTAATAATCCCAGCGTCCCATGGGGTGAGCGTGGCGGGGGATTCTCCCTAGAGTGTTGGGGTCATGATGGAGAGAGCTCCTGGGATCCCAAGGAGCCCGTCGGCGAAGCTGGGCCGGCAGGAGCTGGAGACAACAGGGAGAAAGCTGGAGCTGAATGAGGTGTTTGCTTGAGGCCAGGCCAAGCCAATGGCAACAGCCCTGGCAGGGTAAACGCCAGATTCATACCAGTGCCAAGGGCCAAACTCCCTGGGACTCCAGTGTCGTCAGGATGCAAAAGCCCCAGGGCTGCAGCAATGCCAGGCACCAGCACACACCCAGCGTTTGCCACTCTGCAGAGCCTTCTGTGCCATTCAATCTCCTGTGCGAGGAATGCAGCGGGGCCGCGCTTGGTTCTAGGGCCTCGGGTGGTAAATACTGAGTCTGCAGGGATCAGTGTCCCATCACAGCTCTGCAGGCATGCCCCGAACCCAGGCCAGAGGCTGGGGGCAGTGATCTCTCACTGGGGTGGCTGTTTCAGGTTTTTTGTGAACCAGCTGGTGTGTGGGGAGGGGCTATATCACCGGCATGCCATGAAATTAACAAAGGCTCCCTCACTGTGCAGGCCAGGCCAGCGGGCAGGACAAACCCCGTTTGTCAGATCCATACCTCCACCACTGAAGGACAATGATCTGAACAAGGCCTTTTCAAGCCAGACTCATGCAGCTTTGTAGAGGGTTGTGGCAGGTCTGCCACGGGAAGCTGGGGGTGTTTTGGTGGCTACTTCATATATTTTCCTGCTTGTGTGTTTCCACATCTGGAAAACCTGCAGCCTTTCAAATGATTGTAGGGGAAGGTCAGGGAGAGGGGTGTCTTTCACCAAGAAGATTAACAGGTCACAAAGAAAGCCGCGTGCGCACACCCCTGGCCCCGCAGAGGGCCAGCCCCACCTCTGTTCTGACCTGACTTCAGCGCACACGCAGGTGTGAGGTAGGGCAGGGTGAGGCCTGGGCATGCATAGATGCACACACGGATCTCAAGGGATAGATTTAAAAAACGTGTGAGGTGCCCAGGTGCTCCCAGATGCCTGCGGTTATGTGCGCAAACCGGTTCATTGCACATGCAAAAGGCTGATTAGGCGCATTTACCGATTGGCCTGGGCAGATTCATTAATCAAGAGCAGAAATTAGCTGCCCCTTTTTCACCGGCAATGAAGAGCTGAAGCTTGCTGAATCCCTGGCCCACAGAGAGGAGGCAGCTGGATCTCACAGTGCCACCTCACTGATCCCAAATGCTCCAGCTCCTACTGTGAGCCCCATGATCCCAAGGAGGGGTTGCAACCACAGGAAAGGAGATGATGCCCTGAGAGCTAACAGCCTTCGCTCAGGGCTATGCCGGAAACCCCAGACCTGCTTCAGCTGTGGGGGGAGCCCAGTCTGGCCAGGCCCAAGGTCACCTTCCAGGCTGAAAAGGAGGAAACTCAAGAGTTACATGGCATGTAGAAAGAAAGCAGGAGCATGTGGAGCTGGGAGGAAGGCAAAGCCCTCTCCACATTTTCAGCCTAGCTGTAGGGTTTCAGGGGGACACTCTCTACACAGCCTCCCCTTCCCCCACCACGTACAGGCTGCTCACGCTTCCCATGGTCAAAGCCCCACCAGCTCTCTGAGTCCCTCCGTCTACATGAGCAAAGGGCTGTAGCAGCACTGGGCCCTGCCCTGGTGCTCACCTCTCTGCCTGGCTGGGGCTGGGGCTGGGGTGGGAGAAGGGGGTAGCTCCCTGCTGTCTGAGTTGGGCACCTTATGGGAGAGTCTGAAATATCCAATTTCCTGTTTCTTTTTGCCCTCACCCTTGGATTTAACCCTTTGGCCCCTGCAGCTGTTGGCTCTCCCGCCGTGTGTTCATTCCGGTGGTTCTGCAGCCTGCTTACCCTGTGTCCTCTTACACAGCTGAGCACCCTGTGACTGGCACCTGACTGGGGCACCGGGAGAACTGGGGCACTGCTCACACAGGGGGATACCTGAGTCTCCTCTCCCACAGCTAGGCTGGGCTGCGCTGACTCTGGGCAGGAAGGGTTAAAATGTAACTGAGCCAGAGAACAAACCAGCTGCCTCTACGTCTCCTCCTGGGACTTAAACGCACTGGGCTAGGTCTGCCCAGGGCAGCCTCCGCTCCTCTTGGGGGTCAGTCAGGACAGGGAGCGAGGGGGAAGGTGTCTGGTGCCCAAGGCTGGTAGCTCTGCTGGGCCATTGCCTCGGCCCGTGGGTGTCCCTGCCAGGCTGAGTTTGCCTGAGCCAGGCACCAATGGTTTGTCTGATTTGCGAGAACTGCTTTTTCTGATTTGTTTGATTTGAAGTGAAATGATCTACCTCAGCAACGCGGGCTGGAGTCCATTGCTACAGCTGGCTCTGCCGGCAGGGGTTGCTGGGGGGGGGGGGGGGGGGGGTGTGCTCGTCACCAGGCCAGAAAACCATAGGTTCATTGCGCCAAACGTCACCCAGGCCAGTGAGATTTGGGTGGGGAGCTTCCCGGGCAGTACAGGCCCAGGTGCGACTCTCAGGGCTTCATGAGAAGGCACCACGCAGCGGAGAGCAGAATCTGTCCTTTGTCAACTGTGGGCAGGTCCTGAGGGCCCTTGCTAAGTTCTCATCCAGTCCTCACTCAGACTAGCTCCTGATGTCAGCCTCTGGCTAAGGATTTATCCCACGCTTGGCACTGGTGTGTGCAAGTCAGCAGGGTGGAGCTGAGCAGGGCCTCGTGATCTGGCCCGCTCTTTCCCATTTCCACCTGCCTCTACAGCCACCGGGGTGATGGTAAAACTCGCGTTTCCCTGGGGCCTCGCGATGTATTCCCCCAGAGCGCTGCTTCTGCGCTGACCGTCCCATGCAGCGAGCGGAGCAGCGTGCGCCTTGGACAGGGCTTGGACGTGCTGTGCAGTCCTGGCTGGCTGGCCCACATGCACCGTGACCTGAGTCGCCTGCAGGCACCAAGCATGGGGCATCCCACCTGCCGCATGCACTGACTACACCCCCTCCCTGTGCACTGATGTGTTGACGCACCTGGCTACAGCAGGTGCTGTGTATCCCCTAAGTGCCCCGCGGGCTGGGCACGCTGACTGCATGTCTTGCCCCGGCACCCACACGAAGCACTGTGTTCACCCGCTGGTGCACTGATCTCTCCCAGGGACAGAGTGTCCCGTGCACACTGATTACACCTCCCTGTACACCAGAAACTGAGCATCGCGTCTCCTGTGCACTGTCTGGCACGAGTCCCACAAGCAGGACTTACAGGGCAGGGAGTCACGGGGACACCCTCAAGTCTCACTCATGACTCCACAGTCCCTTGTGGTCACACGCCCAGTGCCAGTGAGAACAAGCTGTGCATGGCTCTGGCGAAACTACGGGGCAGAGCAGGGGCAGTCCAGCTCCCCCTCCTCAACTGGTGCAGGGAGAGGCTCTCCCCCCCCTCCCGCCCCACTCTTGTTTCAATCTACTTTAACCCCAGTGCTTGATTGTCAGTGCACTGACTGTACCATGTGTTGTACCTCATTATACCCCTGGCATCTGCATTACCACACACTGACTGCGATATGTGCCTTTTACACACCATGCTCTCACTCACCCTGGCTCCCTGTACTGTCTGGTAATAGTGAGCTCCATATAACTGTGCAGACCTCACACTGTAACTGCACCATCACTGCTGACTACACCAGGTGTATTACACCTCTCAATCTGACTGTATTTTGCACACTTACTAGCACACTCTTGTCCCATACACCACACTACACATTGATAGTAGCATGCTATATAGCAATTGTTCCTTTGCACCATATGTCCATTGTCCTTTTCAGGCAACTATGGTCCTGTTGTACCATGGACTGGCCCAGATTATGATCTCAGGTCAGTGGCATCAATCCAGGGTAATGCACAGTCAGCCGAGTCACTCTGGATTTCTGTCAGTGTAACGTGAGAGCAAACGCTGACCCACCACCTGAAGAAGACCGTGCCCACATGGTGCTGCTGCACGGCATGCTGATCACCCCGCCACCTCCGCCCGGCGCAGCCTGCCCCAGGATGCTGCATGCGTTCTGCTCCAGTGCGGCACAGCGTGTGCTGTAACACCAAGCACTGTCTGCAGCATGGACAGTTAGCACAATTAGCAGAATGTTCTTCACATCTTCCGAGGCAGATTGTAACCACGGCCATCTGAGGCCTGCCTGATGGCAAGCAGATTGCAGCTGGAGGCTGACTCCTGAAGGCGGGTTTGAAATAGATTGCAGAGAGAGAGCTGGGGGAGAGAAATAGACACAGCTGGACAGAAGCTGTCTGTGCATAGTCTGCAAATGACTGTCCGCATGGGTGTCAGGGTTATTCCCACCTCGATGCTGCAATCTGAAGAAACAGGGCTAAGCCCATAGCAAGGGCATAGAGGCAGCCCAAGAGCTAGTCACTGCCTCAGCGGCTATAACCTGGGCTTCAGATTTAGCCCCTTGCTTATTTTGGTCGCTGTTTTGGAAGCAGCCTGTTGACGAAACGCCCTTGAGCTTGAACTGGTGTTTCTCAAAGTGTCAGCCAGTAGCAAGAGCTAGTGCCCCCCTGCAGTACCCAGGGTCTCCCCTAGGTGTCGCTGGGTTGCTGTTCTGTGCAATGTGTCGAAGTGGACACATTGCCTTGTGTGTTGTATTCTTTGTAATCTGAAGAGCTGGGCCAAAGCTGGTGGCTGGGGTGTTTTTATACCTTTCCGTATTGAATGGCAGCCGCAGAAATCCTTGCTGTATGCATTTCCCCTGGGTCCAGGTTACAGCTGGAGCATGGAGTCCAGACCTACACACCCATATGCATGGAGCAAATTTACACTAATGAAAGGGCAGAGAAGTGTTTTGCTTTAGTAGGTCCTCTGGAGCCCCAGGTCTGACAGGAACTCCAGCCCCTCCGAGTTCAGCATTAACCGGCCTGGCATTGGCACAGCATCTGGGTGTGAATTAGGGCCCTGTGGGACGATCTGAGCTTGGGGGTCGGGTTTGGGTTTCTCTTTCGCCTCAGGGAACCATTTATGGGTCAGGAATACTATGATAGCTGGTCCACTTGGGTCATGTGAAGGGAGCAATGAGGAGTATTGTGTCGTGGCCAGAACATGGGACTGGCAGTGGGGAGTTCAGAGTTCTGGCCATGGCTCTGATTCTGAGTGACTGTGTGACCCTCGGCAAGCTCACTTAATCTTTCCTGGGCCTCGTTCTGTGCCTCAGTGTCCCATTCTGTAAGAATGGGGTAGTGAGTTTGCAATCAATGTTCGTCAGGGGTTTTGAGATGCTCAGAAGAAAGGTGCTAGAGAAGTGAGAACTGATTAATATTGTTAGCTCCCCTGTCCATGGTCTGCCATACCATGAGGTCATTTTTTTGGCCCTATAAATGGCTACTGGAGAGACAAGGTGGCTGAGAATATGCCTTTTATTGGACCCCTTCTGACGATGGCTGACAGTTACAAACACCAGAGCCTGCCTTCCCCACTGTTTGGGCTCTAATCTGGCTCTAGTGGTTAGTCCTAGGGGACTGTGATGGCTGCGAGCACGCTGTTACTTTATACACGTAAGGAAAGAGTTTCTTAGCAAGTTTGGAAGCGTCATGTTCATGTCACTCGGGCTCCAAAGAGACAGGCTGTTGTTTGGCCAGCCCCAGCTGTTATAAAGGGGTAAATACATGCTTAAGCCTCACAGTCTGGGACCTGCTACTGTGGGGTGGCCGGGGGACAGTTAAAGGGGCAGGAACTGCGAGGTTGTGGGAGGGTCCCAGAGTTTGGGTTGCGGCCCCAGTGGGAATGTCTACATGGCACCCGGCAATGGAACTGCCTGGCAGCCTGAGCCCTGTGAGGGAGTCAGCTGGCACAGGCCAGCCGCCGGTGTCTGATGGTGAACTTTCCAAGCCCACACTGTGTAGTAATCCTGGGTTTGCAACGCTGGACCTGGGTATCACCGTCCTGCTAACGTGGCCGTACCTCGCCATGCAGACCGTCCAACTTGGGTCTGCAGTTTGAGCTGCGTCCACACTGCAAAGTGACAGGGCTTGGACCACAGTCGCAGCGGGACTCGGTCTCTGACTCAGCTCCCTAGCAGGGTCCTAGGATCTAGGTCCTGAGTGTTTGCTCACCCAAGTCAGACTGATTTGTTTGTGGACGGAAGGGGGGCTTGGGCAAACCTAAGTCAGAACCTGGGCCTAGTGTGTGGTGTAGACACAACCACAGAGCTTTAAAGCTCATAACCCACCCCTTAAACTTCACCAGGAACCAGCTGGCAGCCAGTTCAGACCCCAGAGCTCCAGGGCCACGCACCCCTGGGGGACATTCTGCTTGCTGCCTGGCAGCAGCACTGAGGAAGAGTCTGAAGCAGGGTAAGTGAATCACTGGTTGGATCCACAGGCCAGCAGGATGCTCAGTGACCCCATTGCTGCTACAGTCCCTGGGGCTGGGATAGCAGCCAAGCAGCCTCATGCCACCAGAGTGGGGGGAAGAGGCTTCTTCCACACCCCTACTCCAGTCTCCTGCACAGATCCCGTTGGCCTGGGTTTTGTGGGAGAGGCGAGGAGAGTGGCATGTGCCCCTTAGACTACAGAAGCTTGTCAGGTCCTGGGTTTGCTTCAGTTTTGGTTGGTATTCAGCATTGTTAGCCAGAGGGTGCCTGTCAGCATTCAGCGTATCACCATCCTCATGGTCCTCCACTGATACCCATGCTGGGGACCTCTGCAGGAAGAGTGACGGCTTCCTCTAGGGCAGTGATGCCCCAGCTCTTCTGGGGTACCTAGCTGGGCTTGTCACAGGATCCTCGCTGCAGCCCTAGGGAGGAGCAGCGAATCTGCATCACCTCCTCCTTAGAGCCCCTGTCCCGCCCCAGCCCCATGGCATGAGCGCAGAGAGGGCAGTTGTTGGAGACGGGTTCTTTAGTGGCTCCAGGGGACTCCGTGGGATATTCCCCTTCGGTTTGCTCAGCAGTTTGCTCCTAGGTATAAAGAAGCTGGACCCTCAGCTGCCATCGTCTGTGTCAGACGATTATCCCAGCCCCGTGTAGCATACAAACCAGCTGCCTCCACAGTTATTTTCAGCCACTTGCTGGGAAAAGTAAAAAGACTTTCCGGGGGCCTGGTTGGCAGGCAGATGCCAGGAGGGTGTTGTGGGCGAAGGGAGGACTCTGGAGCTCTGCTGGGTGTTTATAGTGTCCGTATAGATATGTAGATCAGCTAGAGTGATCCTGACTGTGTCCAGGGTCTCATTTGGGGGACGGCGGTGTGGGGGGATGGGTTTTCCTGTGTTCTGCTCTGTGTCGCTGTGTCTACGTGTGTTTGTGGGCACTCCGTGACGTGATCTTGTCCAGCACACATGACCTGAGACCTCCAGCCTGTCTTTCCAGCCCAGCACTTGGGGTCAGGTAGGAAGGAGGGGGTCAGGGGGGTCTCTGAGCTCCTGCTGCAGGGACTGGACATGGACTGGACACACTCCCCTGTGAGATGGGCGTGGGCCCTGCCAGCAGGTAGAAGGGTGTTGCCTGAGGTAGCCACAGCTTGCTACAGACACGCAAGAATCCCGCATTCTGTGGGCTGGCCTGTGAAATATGCACCTCCTCCCACAGGGTTGTAGTCATCTGGGAAGGGCTTGGAGGCCGGCGTGTCGCCATGTGGGAAACCGACTTTGGCTCAGCAGTGACCTAGAGGTGGTCGCTGGCTCCTTGGGCTGGTGGGGGGTGGGAGCCCTGCAGGGAGGGCTGTGAGGAAAGGGCAGGTTTTTCTGTGCACCGAGCCATGGGCGTTGGACCCTCTGGAGGAACCTTCCCAGAGCAAGCGCTGGGAACGGGAAGCCCACTGATAAAAGGGCCCGTTTTCTATGCACTCCAGCCACGGTATCCTCACCGTCTCCGCTGCTCTCGGGAGAGGGGGAACGCTCCCTAGCCCCTGCAATAACCTCAGGAGCAGATCAGCAGCTGGGCTCCTGCAGCCAGCGCACCATGTGGCATGCCAGTGGGGATGAGGAGGCAGACCCAGGAAGGATGGCTGGGCCTGGGAGAAGGGCCCTGCAGCAGGGGAACTAACGGAGCCCCTGCGAGTCTCGTCTCTCGTCTCCCGGTGGATGATCCCGCCAATGCAGCCTCTTGCCCTTCTGCCTCTAGCTGCTCATTCCTGCTGGGCAGGTGCAAGGCCATGTGTGGGCAGGGCGGGCAGAGGAAGCCTGGCCCACCTGCGCCGTCTCTAAGGCAGGGCTCCCAATAGGAAGTCCCTGAGCGTTCTTAGCTAGCGCCTGAGGAGCCTTGGTAGTCCGGTCGCCTCCCCACCCACCCAGAAACAAGCCTGTTCCCTGCAATGTCACGACTCTCATGACATTCTCAATAGGGCTGAAAAAAGACCCAAACCAAGCGGAAAAACTGACCTCAGCCGCTGGGAAATGGGCTTTCCGACATTCTCCTAGCTAGATCCCGTGCAAGGCCGGCGCAGGACTGCACCCCAACAACACCGTAACCATGGCAACTCCCGGAACGGGCCCTTCCGTGAGCGGAGACGTGGGTGCCAGCTTGAAATCTGGAGCCAGAGGTGGATTTTGAACACCCCCACCCCTTCCCCTCAAAATCCCAAACCAAGATTTTGGTCCAGCCAAAGGGACACCTGCAAAATGTGGGTCTAGGGTCAGGTTTGGATTCTGCCTCCTGCTTTAAGGGCAGGGGGAGCTTGGTTCAGATTAGGGACTGGGTTCTGCCCACTAAATGACACAGACCCCACTGGTGCCGGGGGTCAGAGCAGGGAGGGAGGGTGCTGAATCCTAGCCCTCTCCCCCCCAGAATTCAGGGAGCTGGAGCTGGGGTTTACCAGGGTCCAGCTCTAGTTTTAAACAGCCAGTGGGAACAAAGCGCCCACTCTGGTTACGGATTTGTTGGGAGCACTAGCCACGTGGCTGGTTGGTTTGCTGGCTAGTTCCCCTCGCCCGGCACAGGTCTCTCAGAGCTGTTTGTTTCTCCCTTCTCCTTCTCATCCAGCATCTGGAAAAACTTCCATCATGTACTGTAAATACTCTGTGTGCCACCTTCTTCTTACTTCCCTTGGGAGGCGGGCAGGGCCAGGGGTGGGGGGGAAGGAGACCGAGGTTCTGTACTAAGACTTTTTTGTATACCACAAACTTTTTGTATATTTTTAATTTTGCTGCAACATGAGATATTAAATTCCTTTCAATACACCTGGCCTGCGGGCCTTTCTTTGCTCTGTCCTCATTCCCCTCTAGGGGTGCCAATTCCTGCAGCAGCCTGATGTGTGCAACGCAGTGGGCTCAGTGGCTCTGTGCTTCTGCTGAGCTGGGAGCACCAGACGTGGAGCCCACCAGGGACCTCCTAGCAATGCACCTCGGCAGCCCTGTGGCAGGGCAGAGGCCAGGTTACTGCACACCACAGCTAGGAGCAGGTCTCCCACAGGGCAGGGCAGCAGAGGATGGCAGCAGAGTTGGTGCTGAGACTTTGCATCGCTTGGTTGTGGCTGAGTTGGGATTGTCTGTTGGCCAGAGCACGAGGACGGGGAGCCAGGACTCCTGGGTTCTGTTTCCAGCTCTGCCACTAACTCGGGGGAGTTGCCTCAATTTCCCCAGTTGTAAAATGGAGATAATGACTCTGCCGTCCCTCTCGAGGGGTGGCACTAATTCACTGAGGCGGGTGACGCACTTTGAGACCATCAGGGAGGGAGCTGTGTAAGAGCGGAGTGTTATTCTGAGTGGGTTGGTGGGACAGGGCAGCAAGGAGGCTGTGATCTCCTCCCACATAGCTCATAGACCAGCCGGGAGAGGGAGGGATACATGCTCTGCCATGCAGTAATGTAGCCAATGCAGAGCTGGACTGTTGTGTAGCGAGCGTTCATATTTCCATAGCCTGTCTCCTGGGGGCAGGCTGTGCTGGGTCCAGACACAGTAAAAGGAATCCAGGATGCAGGAGCCCCCCCCCGGAAGGGAGGTTACGATACCCACAGCAGATGCTGATCAGCTCCCGCAAGAGGCTCCTGCATGATGCCAGCTCCCTTCTGCTCCTGCCACTCGCTATGTGGCTGGGTATTTGGCATCAGGGACATTGCAGGAAACAGGAGCCTGGGTGGGGCTTGGTAACTACGTGAGGCACATGGGAGCATCCCTGGAGACACTCCACTGCCTGAATGCACCACGCAGGAAATGGAACACACCCACTCCGGGGCAAACCCAACCAAGGAGATTGCCTGGGGCATAAATCAGGCTGACGGGAACGCATTGCACGTGTTAGCACACTGGGAGGGTCAGGGTCATCCCTGACTTTAGTGGACCTGCCCCAGGGAGGAGATTGGCCAGGGAGAGCGGTGGTGGCTCTTTGGAGAAAACCCCCATCATGGCCCCAAGTGACCTTCACCCTGCGGCTCGGGGGCTCACGCAGGAGAAAAAATGGAGTTTAGCAGCCCCCAGGAGACTCCTGACTCCAGAGATTTACAAGCTCCTGTAGGCGTCAGCTCCTGAGTGTCTGTCCCCTTCCTGTCCATCCCTTGCTGCTCGGGAAGAGGAAGTCTCTGCAGCTGCTGGGGCAGGATGCAGTGCACAGGAGGGAAGGAACATCCCTTTTAGCCTGGAATTTCTCTTCCCACCGGCTCTCCCCCACTCTAGAGCGGGGCCCAAGCCGCAGTCTGAGCTCCCCACAGGCCCTGGGGGGGTTGAGGTTTGTGCCTCATGTGCACTTCTCAAGAGCTGGGGCTCCTTAGCGATGATGATTTGGGTCCCTGCTGATAATTTATGAAGCCCCAGAGCCTTGGTGCCTCTGAGGCTTTCAGCCCCCACCATGGCTAGCATTTCAGGTCCCCTGCTCTAGTCACTGTCCCAGGGCCAGCTCTGGTTCCTGCCTAGCCCTACAACTGCATTGCATGCCCCACGTTTGCACCCAGCTGATCCTCCATCTATGCCCCAGGCCTTCTACTCTGGCACGGGAGTGAGTCAGGGACAGGGGAGCCCCCGAGGAGCTGCCAGGAGCTCCTACTGTGGAGGAGATCCAGAAGAGCCTTGGAGAATGTCCCTTCGAAGACAGCACCAGCAGAACCACCGAGATCTCCCGGCTGGGTTACTAGCGCCAAGAGAGGGACGGGGTGTTTGTGACAGAGAGACAGACGGACGGAGTGTGTGAGAGAGGCAGACAGACGGCAACAGTGCACAAAGACAATGTGTGCTAGGCGCTGGGCAGCGGGCAAGGGGGTGGGCGTGAGTGCGTTGGGAACGAGCGTTTCCCCTTGGGGTGTGAGCCGAGCCCAGCAGCCCCAGAGCCCCGTCTGCTCGGCCAGAGCTCAACTCCATGAACTTCTCCCTCCCCGGAGGGGCAGGAACTCAGCGAGTTCACATCAGAGCCGTCGCTGGTGGAGTTTCCGACACAGGAAAAAAACAAAGGAATAGCACGTAGCGGAAAGAGCTGCCTTTGCCGTGACAGGAGCGGAGCAGGGACATGGAGTACGAGGCCAAGAAGGGGAAGAAGGTACGCACAGGCCGAGCTGGCTTTGCGGGGTGCAGGTGCGTGTGTGTGGCGGTTCCCAAGGGTGTCACTGCACGGGGCACTGAGTGCTGCCTGGGTGTGAGACAAAGGCCAAGTGCTCCCTTCCCTTAGGCAGCATGCAGGGTAGCAGGTGAGTGGAATTCATGGGGAGCAGGGCCTACAGGGGAGAATGGCAGCCCATGATTCCTCCCCCCACCCCCAAACCGGGCTGAAAAGAGGGACGTGGCCTAGCAGAAAGGGGCGGAGTCACCAAACAGCCTGCGCCCCACCCAGAGCAGCGTAAATTGCATTGAGCCCTTAGGCTATTCGACGTGCCAGGTGACCCCTTGGGGCTGGGGAATCAACGGTAGCATAGCCCCAGAGCCAGCCGTGCTACTGGGGTGCGGGGAGCCCCAGAGCCAGCCGTGCTGCTGGGGTGTGGGGAGCTGCATGCAGGATCCATAGGGGACTGGGCCATCTCTCCATATGCACCCAGCTGGCTATGCGCTCTGTCCTGCATGGCCCATGGGACAAGATGGTGCACATGTGGCTCTCAGAGGCCAGCAAGGTGCTTTCCCTTCAGGGACTCTGTACAGAGGAGAATCCACAGCCTGACCCTTGGGTCTTTTATTCCCCTCTCCCCCCTGTGACTGACCCAGCACAGTTAAAGGCCCCAGGGCAGAGGCCCGGCAGAGACCAGCTGGGTTTAGAGTCCTGGCTGGGTTTTCCGCAAGGCAGGGACTGGCTGTCCATCGGTTCTGCGCCAGGAACGTAACTCAGCTGCGATTGTGAACATGGCATTCTGATCTGCTCGGCCTGCCACCTTGGCTTGGCCCAATCTCGGGGTCTGTGGGGAGAGATGCATGGCTCCATTCTTTCTGGCTGGAAATTCCAGCTCTGATTCATCCATTTCTCTCCCACTAGGGTATTTCTGGTTCATTTATCATGTCCTCGCTTCCCAGGGGTTGTACACGGCTTGTTTACTCCATCCACTGCCCTCCCCCCAATAATGGCATCCCCAAACTTCTCCATGTGCTCTTTATCCAAACCCCTCTGCCTGTCCTGTTCTGTGCAGGACAGCCACCTTAGGCCCAGGGCCTATGTTCATTGGATTTATTTACATGGCGCAATTAGAGCCAGCCCCGGAGGGAGCTCACTCTCTGTGTCTCTAGGAATAGATTTTCTCTCTCTCTCTCTCATAGCATTTCTAACGCACCCTTTACTGCACATGGTCTGGGACTCCCCTGGGGGATGCTGGCTTCCTCTCATTGTGGGATTGCTGTTGAACCCATATCACACTTGAGGGGCATATTCATGCACATATGATCCTACCAGGGTGCACAGCAAACACAAGCCCCTCTGTGGTTGGAGCGGATGAGAGATGCCGGCTTCTCAGCTCTCCTGTTTGTTCTCAGGGGTTTGTGTCTCCCATCAAGCGGCTGGTTTTCCCCAAGGCGGCTCGCAGGCAGGCGCTCAGGAGTAGTGTCTACCGGAGGCCTCTGCATTCTGTCCCTCTCTACCCCCCTGATTATCTCATAGATCCCCAAATACTGCTGCACGACTACGTGGAGAAGGAGGTGAAGGTAAGGAGGGGTGGCCGGGAGGGCCAGGCGCTATCCCAGAACCTCAGATCTTCTTGGTCGCTGGCAGGAGTGGAGGTCACAGGCCTGGCTTCCTTAACCCTGTGAGAGTTCCCCATTGCTGTGCTCCAGAGAAGGTGGATCACCTCTCACTGTAATGCACCCGCCAGGTAAACCCCAGCCGTGTGAGAATCACCACCTGGTGGTTTGGAGTGAGCTCTCCCAGGGAAACAGGCTGCCACGAGACCAAACTGAATAGCTGAGCTGACTGTCTGCCCAGAAGAAGACCTGGATCCTGGTTCTTCCATCCGCCACTGGCCTCTAACTCCGGCAGGAAAACGCTCATTTGGCCTTTGGTAACTGTGGGCCCAGCGAAAACCCAGGGGAAGGATGTGCTGGGGGAGTTCTTCAAACTGTAAAGTAACCAAGGATTGCAGCTTCAGAGCTACATGCATGGCAGGGCCCTTTTGCATGTGCAGGGTGCAGAGGTGAAAGTAAGCTGGTATGGTATGGTATGGTGTACCGGCAAGAGCCAGTACACAGCTGACCATGCTGGCAGGGGGCAGCTTCCCCAGGCAGGCAATTTAAAAGGGCCCTGAGCTCCCAGCAGTGGCCGGAGGCCCTGGCCCTTTAAATTACCACCAGACCCCCAGGGCTCCCGGCTGCCGTTGCAGCTACAGCTACCATGGAGATGTGGTGGTAATTTAAAGGTCCCCGGGCTCCCGGCTGCCACTACCACAGCTGGAGCCCCTGGCCCTTTAAATCGCTGCCAGAGCCCTGGGTTAGTAGGCAGCAATTTAAAGGGCCTAGGGATTTAAAGGCTCCGCCCCTTCTACCTGAGGCCCCACCCCCCGCTCAGGACCCCGGCCCTGAGTACCGGTAAGTCCTTTAAGTTACTTTTACCCCGGCAGGGTGGGCCCCAGGCAGCTGGGAACCCTTTACTCAGAGCCTGACCCCGAGTCTCAAGGGTTCCCGGGGACACAGGGTTTAAAGTGAAAAGAAAAGGAGGACTTGTGGCACCTTAGAGACTAACCAATTTATTTGAGCATAAGCTTTTGTGAGCTACAGCTCACTTCATCGGATGCATACTGTGGAAAGTGTAGAAGATCTTTTTATACACATAAAGCATGAAAAAATAC